GTAACGGTCATCTCCAGCAGTCACAACCCAGTTTCACATGACCCCATGTTAGCAGAATGTATATTTGTTTTTTAGAAATGGTGGAGCATGAGATAATTGCTACTTGCCAAAACCTTCTGGCACATAGACTGTTGGAAAATTTTACTTAGACAGGCCAAAGATGTGAAAAATGTGCTCTAAATATAGCTCCTAATTTTTGCAGGCAAATCTGTGTCAAAATGAGTAAGATAATTAAATATTGCAATATCATTTGTTGGAAGGAACAGAAACAGTACGAATAATACTGTTAATGTGAGTGATGTGAGGACGTACTGAATAAAATGTCTGAGACACTAAAGAGCTCAAGTCCCTAAAGGCCCTCTGAACCTGGCTGCAAATGTATTATTCTAACAAGATTAAAGAATATCTAAAGGCAATCGTTTTTTGCTTTTTTCACATGGAGTATGGGGTCCTATAGACATAAAAGGATATACAAGAAAATATCTTGTGAGGCAAATCCTTTAGTTGTACCTGTGACATGTGGCCCATTAAAAGAATTCTCCTCTGTTCTTGTTCTGGGTCAAAGTTTTTTGGATTTTCCGCACATTCAAACTGAGTACTAGAACCATTTACAAAACTGCCCAGCTGGGAGAAAGGCACCAATATAGGCCTGACTTGAATGGGTAAGTAATATACATATATGTGTGTGTATGTGTGTGTGTATATATATATATATATATATATATATATATATATATATATATATAAATCAACTTGACGCCAAATCACATGCATGTACGTGATTGGCTTCAAGTGGTTATACTGGGTTTATGGCTGCAGGTGTAGGCTAAACCCTGATATATTTTTTTTTTTCTCAGCTGGCAATGCTTTTTGATCTAAAAGCAATCCTAGTGGCTAATTAGCCCCCCCCCCCCCCCCCCCCGCCACCTACCAGCACTTCTCCAGGCTCTCCCATGTGAGCATGGAGCTTGATATCCGATTCGGCAGTTATCATAGAGCTGGCCAGGGACAAGAAGTTCTCTGGCTGTCTCTATGGTCTAGGAGACCTGAAGTGATGTCACTTCCAGTTCAGGCAGATGTAAGAACTTCTCTTTTTTTATCTCATGCTTTCCAGGGTGGAAGAGAGATCTGGCATATTATAAACCCCAGATATCTCCATAATAGGACCTGTCATCCCTTATTTCTATCACAAGGGATGTGTACATTTCTTGTGATAGGAATAAAAGTGCTAAAAAAAAATTAAAGGGACAGCGTAAAAAAAAAAGATATTATTTTTTTTTTTTTTTTTTGGTGATCGCATCACACATATAAGGTATCCCACAGACAATATAGCGAGATCAATAATTCTAGTGCTAGACCTCCTGTAACCTGTAAAAATTTTTAAAGTATCGTCTATGGAGATAAGTATCAAAGTGTACGCAATTTTAAAACATGACATGTAAGGTATTTAGTTACTTGCATGAAACATCATGTTTTTTATTTTACACAAAAATTGAGTTATATATTTTAGTTTCTATGTATTAAAATTAATTAAAGTGTATTTTTTCCAAAATAATTGCATTTGAGAAACTACTGAGCAAATGCCATGTGACATAAAAAATCACGATGACCGCCATTTGATATATTTTGCACTGCTGCTAAAATATATATATATATATATATATATATATATATATATATATATATATATTTCCTAGCAGAAAAAAACCCTTTTAAATATTTTTATTGGTACAAAACACACACACACACACGCATATATATCTATCTATATATATATATATATATATATATATATACTTTAAAACCATTAAAAAAAAAAACTTTTTGTACATTTATTATCAATTTTTGTTTGATATAAATTACATAGGGTGAAAAAGAGAAGTCCGTCTTCTTCAACCGAGAGAAAACCTCCATAAACAGAACCCTATACCCAACGTTATTGTGTTACAGTAAGCTTTTCGATTATTATCCCCATATTAGCAATAAAAAACTGCAAGAGATTTTAACCCTTCCCTACTGTATACAAAACGAAAAAAAAAAAAAAAAAAACCTTTCAATATATTTTTTAGTTCATTTTATAACAATATAGCAGAAAAAAAGGAGGTTTCAAAAGCTGCCAAATGTTTGCACTAGGATAATGACAGCTAAAATTGTTTGGTTGATGTGAACAACATCTCCACACTATTATGTATTTGCTTAAGTCATATATGAAACCAGAAAAAATGTCATAGAACGTAATTTAAATTTATAGAATTGTGTTTTTGTTTGTCTCTGAGAAACAGATAGCTAATCCATGAACAAAATGTAATATATTTCAGCTTCGACACGGTGGCTGCATTAGTTTTACTTCTTTGGGCTAATGACAGTTGGACAAGTACAGAAAATACCTGTTAATATTGTCAGATATGCAGCATCCTTGTCACTTTCTGTGCACTGAACTTGATGGTATCTTCCTTCTGTCACCTTAGATTGTATGTCCCTTGAGGATTAGGGACTTATGTGAATGTACAATATATATGTAAAGCGCTGCATAAATTGACGGCGCTATATAAAGTACCTGTAATTAATAAATTAATAAATACATTCTGTCAACTGCTAATCGCCTCACCCCTTGTAAAAGAGATGAAAGGAGGAAGACATGTTCGAAGTCTAGAATGGGTGACAGCCATGGCTCCTTCCAAATATACAGTGGAATAAGTTAGCTTTGTCACCCTAGCGCAGTAAATATGTTACTGATTAGATTACCCAGTAAAAAAAAAACAGACTGGTAAAAAAAAAAAAAAACTAATGTGGCCACCACATTTAAGCAAATAAAGAAAATGGAGTGTTTTGGTGCGTTCCAGATAGGTTAGAGTGGTCGCTGCAATGTATTGACTAGGGATCAATCAAGTGGGGGTACCTGATGAACAGGAAGGAAAATATACTGTGAGACACTAAGTCAGTTCATATGTGATTGTTAGTTCATATGATATGAGTTCATATAAGGTTATTATAGGTCCTTATGGGGATCCTTAGGGGGTGAGCTTTAACTTAGAGGTTGCCAGCTTGCATCGAGCTAGAAGGAACTCTGTGAAAAGATGAGGAAAAAGAGGGGCGGAGCCATCTAAGTGCAGTTAGTGGGAACATTTATTTACATTAAAAGATAATTGGCAACTCACAAAATGAAAAATGATAAATGATGTTACATTCATCCGCTGTGGTCCAGAGTGCAGGCCGGGTCCCTGGATGTGAAGCCGATGTCTAGGTGGCGCTGGTGGTTACCAGTGTTTCCTACTGTCACTGATACACCAGGATGGACAAGCTGGTCATTGATGTCACTTCTGGTCACGTGGGTCACGGGGTGCGTGTTCAGAGTATGCTTGTTCCCTCTTCAGGCCAGGACAGAGGCCATCTTTGTGTGGGTAAAAGGGAATAGAAAACATGGACTACAGGAGGAGACTAGAGCGATCATTTCGCCCACGCCAATGCCATGGTAACCACACCGTGACAACCAGAGCTCCGTGTCGCATGTTATAAGGGCAAAAAACATTGAAATATGACACATATACTAAACCATCATAAAGTGGTACAAATTTCTATTTCTTCATTTAGGCCACCAGGAGTTAATGTCTCCAAAGTGTATAAAAGTCAAAGAGAAACCTACTGGATATACACTTTGGAGACATTAACTCCTGGTGGCCTAAATGAAGAAATTAATTAGAAATAAGTACCATTTTATGATTCCAAATACTCATCTGATTCTTTCCTCCCAGAGTGAGTCATTCAGGCACAACATTTATTCTACACGTACATATTTATACACATACTTTTTTATCATGTTCCTCCTTCCATCTATATGACAATATCCCACATACACACATAACATATTTCATATTTATACCTTCAACAGGAGGGTGCAATTAACTCACTACCTACTTATATGCAATGTACTCACAATTCAGTTAAAATTCTTACATACCTGTATATCTTCCAAGAACCTGATAAAGAATTACAATCCCCTTAAAAATTCTCCACTATATATATATATATATATATATATATATATATATATATATATATATATATTTCTCTCCTATGGATTATACCTCGTCCCTTTAGGGCACACTTCCATCATGTACATATAAATGCGTAGACATACATGCACCACTGTATGATATTTTAAGTATTTTAGATATTATTTCAGTCTTTCATGTATGTTCACTTCCAAACATAGTTACTTACTCCTTTTTCCCTTCATTTTATTATACAGGGCTCTTAAAGTGGAGTTTAAGCCTTTTTTGTTTATTAACAGTCAGCAGCTACAAAAACTGTAGCTGCTGACTTTTAATAAACACACACTTACCTGTCCCGTAGCCCAGTGATGTTCTCACCTACACGGTCCCTTCTCCCCAGTGCTGGCATCTCAACTGTGGGAACCAGGGTGTGAGAGCTTGCGGCTTCACAGCCAGGTGCCCACTGCGCATGTGCGAGTCGAGCTGCGACTCCTTTGTGGTCTGACAGTCTCCTGGGACCTGTGAGAGTTCCAAGGAGACTGCAGGAGCAAGGAGCTGGCCGAACATCCGGCTCACTTCGCCGGGCAAACTGAGCCAGAAGTGGGAGCGGGTACCTGTCAAAACCAGGTACCCGCTCCCCCCCAAACGGTGCCAAATATGGCAGTGGAGGGGGGAGGAGGCAAATAAGCGGAGCTTCTGCTTTTGAGTGGAACGATGCTTTAGGTCTTTATACAAAATGAGTATATTCATCAGTAAGTACAACCATCTATGCAACCAAGTTATTCATGTTTTAATAGCCATTAGTAGAGATCATGTGTTATTGTAATTTACCACTCGATGTTTAGTAAATGTATCATAATTCAATGTTTTTTGCCATTATAACATGCCACACGGAGCTCTTTCTGGTTGTCATTGTGTGGGCAATAAAATAAAGGTGAAACAAGGTCTAGAATAGTTGTCAACATGGCTGTGGCAAGATAATAGTGTAAAAGGTCCAAAACCTTCCAGGTCAATAGTAAACACCAGGGGCGGACTGACCGTTTGAGCACTCGGGCACTGCCCGAGGGCCCGGGGTCAGTAGGGGGCCCCATGAGATGCCCCTGGTACCTTTCATAGGCTGTTTTGGTTGTAGTTTGAGTGTGGGCGAGGACACGGGCCCCATAATCCCCTATTGCCCGGGGGCCCCATGAGTTGCCCTGGTGAACACAACAACAACTAAGCTTAAACATTTTCAAGGACAGCAAAAGATTTGGATGGATGTGTAACTGAAAACACTTGCAGACAGTAGAGTGGTATACTTGTGTATGTGCATTTCATTGCGCAAGGCATTTGCATACCTCCCAAATAATAAGATCAGAAAGAGCGCTGACTTTATACATAAAGTTTAAAGAAGGAAAAGACATACCCTTTCCCCAAGTTATGCAAACTATGAAAAAACGACACACACAAAAAATTGTTGGTTAAACCCAAGTGCTTTTTTCACAACTACAGTCATGGCCAAAAATATTGGCACCCCTGCATTTCTGTCAGACATTGCACCACTTCACCCAGAAAATTGTTGCAGTTACATATGTTTAGGCGTTCTCATGTTTATTTCTTTTGTTTGTATTGGTATGACACAAAAAGTGGAGAAACAAAAAGCAAAAATCTGACACATTCCACACAAAACCCCCAAAATGGACTGGACAAAATTATTGGCACCCTCAGTTTAAAATTTGGTAGCACACCCCTTGGAAAAAAATAACTGAAATCAATCGCTTCCTGTAACCAATGAATGAGTTTATTACACCTCTCTGCTGGAATTTTGGGCCACTCTTCTTTCACCAACTGCTCCTGTACTTTTTCTTTATACTGGCTTTTCATGCAGATGTTAGATAAAAGACTAAGTGTAGTATAACAACTTTTGATAGTTAAAAAATACATTTCTAGAGGTCTGTACATCAGACAAAAAACAGGGACAACTGAGAATAAAAAAGAGAAAAGACAGTCCATCTGAGTTAGGGACAGTTGGGAGCGATATATATGTTTTGAGAGCCCAGGTCTATCAATTGGCAAGAGAAGAACTGATATTAGGAAAATGTCTTTTCTTCTGAGATTTTTGGGGTGTTGTAGACATTTTACTCTATGGACCGGGCTCCTGGGTTATTGCAAAAATGTACATACAGACTTTTATAATAGCTCTTTCTACAAAGATTCATAAATAGAAAAAGAAGCGATGGAATTTACAGATACCAGTTATGGTGAAGGATCTCAGTAACCATACATCTATTAGGTTTTGATCCAGGCTGTAGTATTAATGGTATATTTTCAAAATAGTAAATATTTTTGCTTTAAAGTTTTCAGTTAACCAATTATAATTTTCTTTTCCCTATTGAGCTTAAATAATTAAAATTCACAGCCCAGAGCAGTTGTGGTCAAGTGGTTTTCACAGCTTGTTTCCAGCTACATTTTGTCTAATTATTACATAATTTATTACACTTCTCACTATGCTGTATAAAACTATGAGCAGTTATTGTTGTTTTTACTAATTACTGTCTTCTTCAATAACAAAGTCTATGAAACCATAAAGAATGCAGTAGTACTCTCTTTCAATCTGTTAACTTGTTAATGTATCTTCATTACATCATTCCTGATATGAACTGTTGTAGACCAAAATGAGCAACGTGCAATCCCACAGTCACAAAACCAATCACTTTTTTCCACAGTAACATACAGCCAATTACCTATTAATGCTTTGACACTGACAAAACTTGAACTCCTACTCTACTCCAGGAAACTGGATAATATTGTTTTTTCCTTAAAGAAAAGAAGGTTCTTGCTAAGTGGATATATTTGTGGGGGTTACCAATGGCAGAGATAGTCAATGGTCTGCATGAATAGGACACCCTCGATCCCATCACAGTAGATCCAATTTTATAGGATGCAGTTAGAACAGTGTCAGTGTTTGCAGCAAGCTAAGTTGTATTAGATCAGACCCTATGATGTCATCATACAAGTATACAACCACAACTTACTGCTATTACCTTCTTCTCTACCTAAGGGCCTCTATACAAGATGGCAGGCCACTTCTCAATTATAGCAATTAAAGAATTTCTTACATTATTCATTTTCATGGTTCCAACCAGGGGCGGACTGACAACTCATGGGGCCCCCGGGCAATAGGGGATCATGGGGCCCCTGTGTCCTTGCCCAAACTCAAAAAAGCCTATAAAAAAGGTACCAGGGGCATCTCATGGGGCCCTCTACTGACCCCGGGCCCTCAGGCAGTGCCTGAGTTTCCAAATGGTCAGTCCGCGCCTCGTTCCAACTTGTTGTATATTGTTTACGGAGAACAAAATAATTTATTGTATATCAACCCTTGTCCCAGTATTGTACCCAGCATAATGTTCTACTAACGTGTGTGTCATAAGCATATCATATTTATAATGAAATTTATAGTGGAACCCCATTAATCACTTGACCTCTGGAAGATTTACCCCCCTTTCTGACCAGGCCATTTTTTTGCAATACAGCACTGCGTTTTTTTTTAACTGACAATTGCACAGGCATGAAATGCTGTTCATAAATGATAATTATGTAATTTTTTTCGCACAAATAGATCTTTGCTTTGGTGGTATTTTGTCACCTCCTGGAATTTTTATTTTTTGTGCTATAAACAAAAAAAGACTGAATACCCAATATTTTATACTGTCTGCTATAAAACATATCCAATAAAAAAATTTTAAAAATCAAATTGCTCCATATGTATTCTGCTACATATTTTTGTAAAAAAAAAAAAATCTCAATAGCCGTATATTGATTGGTTTCCGCAAAAGTTATAGTGTTTACAGACTATAATATATATATATATATATATATATACTGGAATTTTTATTTTATTTTTTTGTATACTAGTAATGACAATAATCAGCAACTTATAGCGGGACTGCGATATTGCGGTGGACAATCTGACACTAACTGACACTTTGTGGGAACCAATGACACTAATACAGTGCTAAAAATATGTACTGACACTGTACTAATGACACTGGCTGGGAAGGGGTTAAACATCTATGATGATCAATGGGTTAACTGTGTACCTAGCTAAGTGTAATGGGTACTGTGTGTGCTGTTTTCACTAGGTCATGTGCTGGATTCTATTCACTGCTCTGCAGGGAAAGAGAATCAAGCACATTGCCTCTGACAGGACACAGCTCTGCCATTTTACATAGGCAGAGCTGTATTCTGTCAGTTTCACAGACAGTCGAAAGATTCCGGCACTCATCCACTGGCTGGCACCCGCTGAACAGCTTTTGCTATGACATATCACAGCAGAAGCGGCGCTCCAGTGGTGCATGAGTGCACCCGTGACCAGAAAGTGCAGAATCATATTTATATACATGATTCTGTAGCAGTATATCTGCTATGGGGCGGGTCGGCAAATGGTATATCTACCAGCACATGTTTTAGTTATATAAAAACATACAAACATAGAGAAAGTTTCTTTTTTTAGTTTGTGCCCCCACTAAAGGTTAACCAACCTATCCACAATGCTAACCAACAAGCAAGAGAAGCCAGCATAGACAGCAGAATAGGGGGATGGTCATAATGTAATAGGCACCATCATCTTTATCAAATACCCTCTATTATTGAATCCCATGGGAAAACCCAACTGGTAAGCTTTTATCCAAGAAAAGGCTGACTTAAAGATAGTTGAGGGCAGTCATGCACACATATACAGAATGTGCAGCAATTAATTATATTTCCAAGACTAATTTCTTGTTGAATTATGCTGTCACATCCCAGCATTGTCTAGTCTATTTTTTCCACTGTGTTTTAAAAGTGTGGATTGTGTACAAATGGTGGGATTTGATGAGGGTGGATTTTTGTGCAGAGCTACCATGTGAAAAAACCAGAGTGTGAATAGCGAAACAGTTAATTTAGGGTTGTATCAGTTCCAGTGGACAACAACTGGATGGTAGCAGAGTAGGCAGGGAATAGGTAATAATAAGGTCGGAGGGACCACAAGGCAGGTGATGTCACTATACAACTAAGCAAATTTTGGGAAACATTGGTCTAGTGCCTACAGCCAACTTTAGGCTGAGGTCAGGTGATCAATGAATGAAAGAATTACACTTCAAGTCACTTAACTGGAACAAATATAAGCTTACTTACTGCATGCATCTTCCAGGTCTGTGATTCAGGAAGCACTAAATCACTGGATCATCATGACGTCCAATCAATCAACTAGCATTTTAAGAAGGTCAGCAATAACAGTGGATGTATTTCAATAATCACAGATTTACTGCAAGGACTAGTTTTCACTGTTGATTTGATGTATACATTTAAAGTACAAATAAAACCAAAGCTTTATATCTACTTAGATCCCAGTTGGGATTTTTTACTGTGCCACATCAGGGACATTTTGCTTTCTTTCACTTTCTGACCTGAAGACAGAAGTAAGATGACATTTTTCCAAGGTATAGAGAAAACACTTCTTAGACAATTGTCACCAGGACAGGTGTCTCCATTGGAAAACTTCCCCCTCACCTTCAGTTCCCATGGCAACTGTAAAATTTTGGATTTCCCATCACTTTCTGCCCAGGTGGCAATGGCCACAAGGACACATTGAGAGGATGAATCTCCGCAGTCAAGGGGAAGACAGCAATAGAAAGCTGTAGACAAATCCATCTGGCACCAGCCCTAAAGCACCACTGTATATGAATGCGCAGCTTACAGTGATACTGTACCATAACTTAAAGTACAAATCCAGCATTCTGAGCCAAACCTCTAAAATGTAGGTTACTGTCTCAAAAGTAAATATAAAAGTGAAAAAAGGAGGAAAATTTTTTTTTTTTCATGTTGATGTTTACTTTTGAGATGGTAAGCCCACTGAATTTCTGAGGGTTGACTAGAAGTGTTGGCTATTTTTATTCTATGAGCGATACAAACCTGACCTTCTGACCTAGAACCTGAATCTTCTACATTTTAGCCCTGACACTCACTGGGTGTTTGGTTCTGGTGCATGAGGCTTTGGCACTTAGTTGCAGATGGAGGGCATAGGTGCAAAGTACAGCCCTGCTGCCAGCAGCCTGTTGAACTCTATGACAATCTGACAGTTGCTGCAGCTGGACAGGGTTGGGTGGTACACTCAACAGGACTTCCATTTAGGGCATTATGCGCCCAGGGACAAAGTCCTTAAACACAGA